AAAAAAGAGGTAAAGAAAGGGAGGAGGAAACCAAAGCTGACAGGGAAAGAAACACGCACTGCCAGCCAAAACGCAAAAAAAGAGGTAAAGAAAGGGAGGAGGAAACCAAAGCTGACAGGGAAAGAAACACGCACTGCCAGCCAAAACGCAAAAAAAGAGGTAAAGAAAGGGAGGAGGAAACCAAAGCTGACAGGGAAAGAAACACGCACTGCCAGCCAAAACGCAAAAAAAGAGGTAAAGAAAGGGAGGAGGAAACCAAAGCTGACAGGGAAAGAAACACGCACTGCCAGCCAAAACGCAAAAAAAGAGGTAAAGAAAGGGAGGAGGAAACCAAAGCTGACAGGGAAAGAAACACGCACTGCCAGCCAAAACGCAAAAAAAGAGGTAAAGAAAGGGAGGAGGAAACCAAAGCTGACAGGGAAAGAAACACGCACTGCCAGCCAAAACGCAAAAAAAGAGGTAAAGAAAGGGAGGAGGAAACCAAAGCTGACAGGGAAAGAAACACGCACTGCCAGCCAAAACGCAAAAAAAGAGGTAAAGAAAGGGAGGAGGAAACCAAAGCTGACAGGGAAAGAAACACGCACTGCCAGCCAAAACGCAAAAAAAGAGGTAAAGAAAGGGAGGAGGAAACCAAAGCTGACAGGGAAAGAAACACGCACTGCCAGCCAAAACGCAAAAAAAGAGGTAAAGAAAGGGAGGAGGAAACCAAAGCTGACAGGGAAAGAAACACGCACTGCCAGCCAAAACGCAAAAAAAGAGGTAAAGAAAGGGAGGAGGAAACCAAAGCTGACAGGGAAAGAAACACGCACTGCCAGCCAAAACGCAAAAAAAGAGGTAAAGAAAGGGAGGAGGAAACCAAAGCTGACAGGGAAAGAAACACGCACTGCCAGCCAAAACGCAAAAAAAGAGGTAAAGAAAGGGAGGAGGAAACCAAAGCTGACAGGGAAAGAAACACGCACTGCCAGCCAAAACGCAAAAAAAGAGGTAAAGAAAGGGAGGAGGAAACCAAAGCTGACAGGGAAAGAAACACGCACTGCCAGCCAAAACGCAAAAAAAGAGGTAAAGAAAGGGAGGAGGAAACCAAAGCTGACAGGGAAAGAAACACGCACTGCCAGCCAAAACGCAAAAAAAGAGGTAAAGAAAGGGAGGAGGAAACCAAAGCTGACAGGGAAAGAAACACGCACTGCCAGCCAAAACGCAAAAAAAGAGGTAAAGAAAGGGAGGAGGAAACCAAAGCTGACAGGGAAAGAAACACGCACTGCCAGCCAAAACGCAAAAAAAGAGGTAAAGAAAGGGAGGAGGAAACCAAAGCTGACAGGGAAAGAAACACGCACTGCCAGCCAAAACGCAAAAAAAGAGGTAAAGAAAGGGAGGAGGAAACCAAAGCTGACAGGGAAAGAAACACGCACTGCCAGCCAAAACGCAAAAAAAGAGGTAAAGAAAGGGAGGAGGAAACCAAAGCTGACAGGGAAAGAAACACGCACTGCCAGCCAAAACGCAAAAAAAGAGGTAAAGAAAGGGAGGAGGAAACCAAAGCTGACAGGGAAAGAAACACGCACTGCCAGCCAAAACGCAAAAAAAGAGGTAAAGAAAGGGAGGAGGAAACCAAAGCTGACAGGGAAAGAAACACGCACTGCCAGCCAAAACGCAAAAAAAGAGGTAAAGAAAGGGAGGAGGAAACCAAAGCTGACAGGGAAAGAAACACGCACTGCCAGCCAAAACGCAAAAAAAGAGGTAAAGAAAGGGAGGAGGAAACCAAAGCTGACAGGGAAAGAAACACGCACTGCCAGCCAAAACGCAAAAAAAGAGGTAAAGAAAGGGAGGAGGAAACCAAAGCTGACAGGGAAAGAAACACGCACTGCCAGCCAAAACGCAAAAAAAGAGGTAAAGAAAGGGAGGAGGAAACCAAAGCTGACAGGGAAAGAAACACGCACTGCCAGCCAAAACGCAAAAAAAGAGGTAAAGAAAGGGAGGAGGAAACCAAAGCTGACAGGGAAAGAAACACGCACTGCCAGCCAAAACGCAAAAAAAGAGGTAAAGAAAGGGAGGAGGAAACCAAAGCTGACAGGGAAAGAAACACGCACTGCCAGCCAAAACGCAAAAAAAGAGGTAAAGAAAGGGAGGAGGAAACCAAAGCTGACAGGGAAAGAAACACGCACTGCCAGCCAAAACGCAAAAAAAGAGGTAAAGAAAGGGAGGAGGAAACCAAAGCTGACAGGGAAAGAAACACGCACTGCCAGCCAAAACGCAAAAAAAGAGGTAAAGAAAGGGAGGAGGAAACCAAAGCTGACAGGGAAAGAAACACGCACTGCCAGCCAAAACGCAAAAAAAGAGGTAAAGAAAGGGAGGAGGAAACCAAAGCTGACAGGGAAAGAAACACGCACTGCCAGCCAAAACGCAAAAAAAGAGGTAAAGAAAGGGAGGAGGAAACCAAAGCTGACAGGGAAAGAAACACGCACTGCCAGCCAAAACGCAAAAAAAGAGGTAAAGAAAGGGAGGAGGAAACCAAAGCTGACAGGGAAAGAAACACGCACTGCCAGCCAAAACGCAAAAAAAGAGGTAAAGAAAGGGAGGAGGAAACCAAAGCTGACAGGGAAAGAAACACGCACTGCCAGCCAAAACGCAAAAAAAGAGGTAAAGAAAGGGAGGAGGAAACCAAAGCTGACAGGGAAAGAAAGCGTATCAGTTAAACGAAGCAAACGACACATCCCACAGATAAGCCAATTGTCACAAAGCAAATACCACATCCAATAGATCAACATTTTTTTTCTTTTTTCTTTTTTTTCTTTTTTTTTTTCTCTTTTTTTTCTTTTTCTTTTTTCTCTTTAACTGTCCCCACCTCGGCAGATAGGACAGCTACGGTGAGGATGATGTGGATGTTCACAAGGATACCCAACGAGAGCTGCGCCAGCACAGCATTCAGCAGGACGGCTAGCACGAACCATCCCGTCCCATCAAAACAGTCCTGACAGAGGACATCGTGATGTTGTCCACATGTCAAAAAAACAGCAGGACGTTCATCACAGTGCGGCATCATGCAGTTCTGATAGCGTCCTTGGGCACAAAAGGGACAAAAACGCTGGTCCTGAGATTGCTAACCTCACAGTCTATTGGGATGAGGCGCAGTACGTGGACAACCTGCAGCGTGTGGATCCCTCTGCATCCCGCCGATATGTTTTCACTTATCGGTTCATTGATGATGTTCTTGCCTTTGATTACCTTTGATTGTCTGCCACCATCGCCAGCCTATTATGGTCTTGATGAATGGAAAGAGACCACTGCGGCCGATGGCTCGTGCACCTTTTTAGGTGCGAAACTGCAGACACGGGCAGACGGATCTCTCCGATTGAGTGTGTGTTTGATGAGTTCCCCCTGTTGCATGGGATTTTCCTGTTATACGATATCCTAGTGCAACGGCGAACATTCCATCTCATCAGCCTGCAGGTGTGCAGGTGTGCAGGTGTGCAGGTGTGCAGGTGTGTTCACCGGTCAGCTTACGTGGTTTGAGTAGATCTGTGACAATTGGCGTGATTTCAGATCTGCGGCAACCATGCTTGTCCGCCGATTGCTTTCTCGTGGCCATAATCCGTCAACATTAGGCCCTAGTTGCACTACGCGCCATCCGCCAAGAATTCGAATGCATCTGGACAAACACAATGTCCACATGCAATCAAGATGTTGGCGGATGGTGGGTAGCGCAACGAGGCCCTTAGCTCGTGTATGGACTTGGTACATTCAGGCTCGCCTGCGTCGACACGCTGTACACGTAACTCGTCTTACACAGTGGTTTCGACGTATATGTTTCGCTGGTCCGTGCATCATCCTCTTCCACCTTCTGCTCCCCTCTCCTTCCCCCCTCCTCCTTCCTCTTCCTCCCCCCCTCCTCCCCCTTCCTCCTTTCC